GTCAAATGTAAGTAAATCTGACACTGATCATATGAATTCCATTGTTCAGAAGGTCAGATGTTCTTGAAATTAAGACATTTTTTTTTTTTTTTTCATATAGTTTTTCACTACGATTGTTATGCTGATAATATAATTTGTACATAAACTACCGATTTTAAAAATGTTTTTGAAACAAGACTCTTATATGCTCACCAAGGCTGCATTTATTTGGTCAAAAATACAGTAAAAACACTAATATTGTGAAATATTATTACCATTCAAAAGAACTGCTTTCTATTTGAATATATTTTAAAATGTAATTTATTCCTGTGATGCAAAGCTGAATTTTCAGCATCATCACACCAGTCTTCAGTGATCCTTCAGAAATCATATTAATATGCTGATTTGCTGCTTAAGAAGTGCTGAAAACAGTTGCGCTGCTTCATATTTTTTTGGAAACCATGACAAATTTTTTCAGGATTCTTTGATGAATAGAAAGTTCAAAAGAACAGCATGTATTTGAAATGGAAATTTTTGGTAACAATGTGAAAGTCTTTACTTTCATTTCTGATCCATTTAATTAACCTTTTGAACGGTAGTGTCCATTTTATAAGCAGTGATCTTCATGGCTGAAATGGTTTAGTGATGAAACTGTGGTGTATTTTAAGAAATGTACCAGTGGCACTTAGATTTGTTTAGGCTTGTCTTCTTTTAGAACATTTCCTGCAGTTGGTACTTGGGCATGAGGAGGTCAAAGCCACAGGAAAACAGGAAGTACTGAGACCACGACAAGCTCAACTAACAGGAAGTGTACAGCTTTGAGCAGGAACCTTATTCGTGATCCGTAAGTTTATATTACAGCTCTCTCTCTTCCCTTTCCTGATCCCTCTATCAATGTTCTGGTATTCTTGGCTTGATGAACAAATTCAAATGACTCAACTAGTTAAATTAATCTAATTACTCTGTTGTCATATTCCAGAGAGGAGTTCAGAAGAGAAATTGCTGTAATAAGAGACAGGCAGCTGGAACCATATTTTGATTGGGGCGTTTTGGATAGAGGATCTTGGTGGGTTTATTTTGGATCCGGTCATCCTTTTTAAAGACTGCGTCAAAATAGAGCCTCAGAGATTTTTATCTTGCTTTGTGTGCTCCTTTGGTTTTGGACTTGCCACACCTGCCAAAGCTAATCTAAACTCTGATCAGCAGGGGCAAGTTTCAGCCTGCCCCACTCATACTGATCTAGATTCGGCTCCAGGTGCCCAGATCATAATCAAAATGATGCTATGATGTCTACAAAACTGGTCTCAGGTCATAATAACATAACATCAGGCTACCTGCTATTTTAGCCACACCTAAACCTAGTTCAAACAGTATGACTGTACTGAGCAAGAACAGTCAACTGTATCAGTTCTAGAAGTAATGCAAAGTAATATCCCACTTTTGTTGGCACTAGCCATTGGTTTCATTCTATTGTTTAAAACACAGTGAAAAAACTGCTTGCAAATGAGGTAATGGTGACCTTTAACCTTCCACAGAGTGCTTTGAATAGCCCTGTCAACCTCCATTCACTTCAACAAGACAAACTGCTTCCCATGGCAAGGTAAGAAAGCACAATGAAATATTACTTCACCTTACCCAGCAGGGGAGATCTGTGCTATATGTCACATTTTCTTTGCTCCTGTTAATATTTTTACAGTTCATTTTACATGCTGACAATGGCAGGGCATGTTGTCACATTGTAATTTGTCAATAAACAGCCTTTGTCTTTTTAGACTGTTAAACGGTAAAACAATCGTTAAGCACAAAACGATTCATGAACATGAATGAATTCCTCGACAGCAAAAATATTAAACAATTTAGCAGACAAATATTGAAATGAATTAATTATTAAATGTATTAAACATATATAAATAGACACTTAAAAAGGTGTAGAAACTATTTTCACTTAGAAATTGCTAGTAAATGTCACAATAATAAAGAAACAGCAAGTAATATGTACACAACTTATCTTTATTTACAACTTAGAAAAATAAGTGTGCAGTGTATATAATATTATGTATTATAATAAACATTTTGTTGCTTTGCAGCCTGAATTGGAGACGGACACAGTTTTTGTTTTATCCAGCTGTATTTACTCAGTGCAACTTATAACATCCAAGTGAATGATATAACACCAACATAGCAGAAAAAAATAAATAAATACATTTAAAAAACAGAATCACTGAGCTGGAACCGGTTGGAAAAAGGAACACCCTCTTGTGTCAGTATTTTGTTGAACCACCTTTTGCTTTAATTACAACCTTTAGTCTGTTGGGATATGTCTCTCCGAAGGCTGCACATCTAGACTTTGCAATATTTGCCCACTCTTCTTTGCAGAACTGCTCAAGTTCAGTTCAATTTGACGTCCGTTTGTGGACTGCAGTCTTCAAGTCATTCCACAGATGTTCAATGGGGTTTAAGTCTGGGCTCTGACGAGGCCATGCAACGACATTCACCTTTTTCTCCTTCAACCACTGTGTGCTCAGTTTTGCTGTGTGCTTTGGGTCATTGCCATGTTGGAAGGTAAACCTTCTTCCCATTGACAACTTTCTGGCAGAAAAGAATCACCCCCCTTTAAAATAATCACATTTTGTTGCTTTGCAGCCTGAAATGTACACGGAAATTTTTTTGTTTTATCCAGCTGTATTTACTCAGTGCAACTTATAACATCCAACTGAAAGATATAACAACATGTCAGAAAAAACAAAAAACAAAACAGAATCACTGAGTTGGAAAAAGGATTACCCCCTTTTGTCAGTATTTTGTTGAACCACCTTTTGCTTTAATTACAACCTTTAGTCTGTTGGGATATGTCTCTCCGAAGGCTGCACATCTAGACTTTGCAATATTTGCCCACTCTTCTTTGCAGAACTGCTCAAGTTCAGTTCAATTTGACGTCCGTTTGTGGACTGCAGTCTTCAAGTCATTCCACAGATGTTCAATGGGGTTTAAGTCTGGGCTCTGACGAGGCCATGCAACGACATTCACCTTTTTCTCCTTCAACCACTGTGTGCTCAGTTTTGCTGTGTGCTTTGGGTCATTGTCATGTTGGAAGGTAACCCTTCTTCCCATTGACAACTTTCTGGCAGAGGACAGCAGATTTTCCTCAAGAATTTGACGGTATTTTGCCCCATCCATTTTTCCTTCTATCCTGACAAGTGTTCCAGTCCCTGCTGCAGAGAAACACCCCCATAACAGGATATTACCACCTCCATGCTTTACTGGAGGAATGCTGTTATTTGGATGCTGAGCTGTATTGGATTTCCGCCAGACATATCGTTTGGTGTTGAGGGTAAATAATTCAGTTTTAGTCTCATCTGCCTCAGAATCTTCAAGGTGCGTTTAGGCAAAGCTCAGTCTGACTACATGTGGCCTTTCTTGAGGAGTAGCTTTTTTTCTTGTAACTCTCCCATACAAGCCACATTTGTGGAGAATTTGTGATATTGTTGTCACATGCACACAATGACCACTCTTTGTCATAAATTCCTGCAGCTGCTTCAGAGTTGCTGTAGCTCTTAGTCGCCTCTCTGACCGGTTTCCTCCCGGCTCTTTCATCCGGTGGAGCGATGTCCTGATCCAGGGAGGGTCTGTGTTGTACCATATACCTTCCACTTCTAAATAATAGACTTCACTGTGCTTCTAGGAATTGCTAAAGCCTTTGAAATTTTTTGTATCCATCTCCTGACTTGTGCCTGTCCACAACTTTATCCTGGAGATCTTTTGACAGTGCTTTGCCACCCATAGTTGATTGTTTGCTTCAGTTGCACTAACAAGGACTGAAATGCTCCAGTAAAAGCTCTTTTCATGCTGAGCTAATCAAAATGACCACAGCTGATCACAGTTGAAAGTCAAATGGCTTTGTGTGCCATTGAGAGGGTAATTAGTCATTTTTAGGAGGGGGTGATCCTTTTTCCAATTCAGTGATTCTGTTTTTTTTTTCCTGATATGTTTGTTTTATATCTTTCACTTGGATGTTATACGATGCAAATTGTAAATACAGCAAGTTGCAAATACAGCTGGATAAAACAAAATCTGTGTCCGTCTTCATTTCAGGCTGCAAAGCGACAACATTTTATTATTTATTCCTATATGATGATGATTCCGCTATGTCTATTAAACCTTTGAAATTACAATCACATCGGAATATTTAAACGTGCTTTCGCGCAGCCGCTGATCCAGAGAGAGCAACGCTCATCATGTGAGCCAAGCTTTAGCCTACAGTATGTTAAAAACAGCGTCACAAACAGTCTACACAGTCTAGGCTACATTTCTGTGTTGCAAACATTAAATAATAACGAAAGTATTGGGATACAATTTTATAGGCCGTATATAGAGATTTTTTTTACAAAATGAATTCATTTAAATTACTAAATATTTTTTTAAATAGACTCATTATAACATTTTAGACATTTAGGCTATAAATAGACTCATTTTGTCAGAACCTCCAGTAAATTAGCCTATATTATATTGTTTGGTTGTCTAATGTTTTGTTTTCATAATCGTGAGAGAACCGTGATCTCTATTCTAAAAATCAATTAGGCCTATCCAGAGTCATAGCATAAAAATATATATAATATATCTGGCATCTAACTAATTGCCTACTATTAGCACTGTTTCTAATATTACAATGTACAGACTATGATGTAAAATGTACAATTTTACAGACTTTATGTAGTACATTAACAAGGATTTGGTACAATAATAATGCCGCTTCTCATCCAGTGGCCCCCCTTTCTTTAGGTCCTTTCCGCGATCCATATCTACAATATAAATTTAAAGGGACAAAAGGCTATACTTCTTAATATAACACTTTATTGGATTAATGCATTAACTATATAGCTAAATTGGTGACCCAGCAAGCATTTCTGTTCCCAGCCATTCTAAGGGGGTGTAGGACGTGTCGGTTCAACTCGAGTGGTTGGTTGTATGTTTCCTCTGATCTGTCTGCGCTTATCTTCTGCAGCCTTCACTTTGACATTTGGAGCATGTGTGAACGAGGCGGCGGCGCGGAGCGGCCATCCCTGAAACATCGGGGGTAGGCGAAGTGACACAGCAATTCCCCCGATGTATTTTTAATTCATCGGTCTCTTCTGTGAGGAATTGTCTAATATAAGTGCAGTCATCATGACATCGGTTTGGAAGAGACTTCAGCGCGCTGGCAAAAGAGCGTCGAAGTTTCAGTTTGCTGCGTCCTTTAAAGAACTCACCGTAGAGTGCACTAAGAAATGGTAAGAAATGCGATTTCTCTTTTCGTTGTCATATATTGTTGTTATACACTATCATATAGGTTTATCGTTTCTCTTAAGTTTGACGTAGCTGCAGTAACACCAGTGTAGCGACGCGACGCTATAAAATGAGAACGCAACGCTCCCATTATAAACACCGAAGCTCGTGTGTGGTTGCAATGTACTGCCAGTGTGTTGTGGTTCTTTATAGTTCAAGAACGGATTATGAGGGCTTGTTTACACAGGCAAGCACATTTCTGTTTGTAGTAGTGAGTTTTGTTATTGGTATCTCCGCTTATACTTCAGTTTTACTTTCAGTTCTCCCGAACAATGTCATCTTAATGGTTCCACTTGAAGCGCATCTTCATGGACACTTGCATTAGCAGCTACAGATCAACTTCATTAGGCACTTTTTATGTGAGACGCTTTAACGCTGATGCTGATGGGAGGGTCTTACAAATGTTGATAAACAAAGTTACTAAGCATAGCCATTTATTTCCATGCAGTCATGCACATAGTCTTTTATTATATGTATTTCATCATTTCAAAAATATCTGAGTTGGGTCAAATTTGCTAGCGTTTATCTAGATTGCAGCTCTGCACTCATTTTCTAAAGTGCTTGAGGTGCTATCTGGGATGCTTTTATTGAAGGAGTGCTTTTTGAGCCACTTGTTGCTTGTTTTTTTCCTTTATTTTACTGTCCAACTCATTCATTAAGCAGTAAGCACAGTTTATTTTTGTATACAAAACTACATTCAAAGGTGGAAGCGTTTAGTGGAAGCGTTTAGATTTTAGAGATTTTACAGAAAAACAGAGCTACACGAAGCTACAATCACAAGAAACATTCAGAAAACTTCAGTCAGGTGTGCCAGACTTTGTATTCGCAGTGTGGCAAGTCCAGACAGACAGACACACACATGTAAGGAGAGTTCTGGTGTCCTTCATTTGCTTAGTTATAGTTATTAGTTGAGTGCAGTCATCTAAATCTGAAATACTGTAATTTCAATGCAGTTATCTCAATAATCCCTTTTAACAAAGAAATGCTCCTGCATTGTAGGCAAACTTAAAAATGTATTATTTTCCTGACAAACAACATCATAATGTGCATTAACATCATGTGACAGTGGATTTTTGTAATCAATATTCCATCAAAACAATGTTAGTAGAAGGAAAAGAAGGATTCATACTCGTTTGACTTTATCATAGAGTCAGTGTTAAGAGAAACACGGCTAGCTCAGAAGAATTTGTGGTATGTGGAATGGCTGGAATGATTAAAGATGTTTCTTTGTTATTTTTTTATTTGTGTATTTATTTATTTATTTTTGAAAACTAGGCATCAAGCCTAAAAAGCAGACAGATGGTGTAGACATGCCTTTATTATTGGCTGAAACATGTTCACTTTGAGACACTACATGGTTAGCCTTTTATTGTTTAAAAGTTAAGAGTTGGTAAGATTTGGTTTTTGAACTCTCTTGCTCACCAAGGCTGCATTTATTTAATCAAAAATACAATAAAAACAGTAACGTTGTGAAATAGTATTGCAATTTAAAATACCTGTTTTGTATTTTTATATATTTGAATGTGTCATTTATTCCTGTGCTAGCTGAATTTTCAGCATCATTACTCCAGTCTTCAGTGTCACATGATCCTTCAGAAATCATTCTAATTCTGCTTAAAAACATTTATTATCATCAATGTTTAAAACAGTTGTGCCACTAACATTTTTTTTGTGGAAACCATGACACACTTTTTCAGAATTGTTTGATGAATAGAAAGGTCAAAAGAACAGCATTTATTTAAAACAGAATTCTTTTGTAAAATTGTAAATGTATTTACAGTTACTTTTGATTACTTTAATGCATCCACCCTGAATAGAAGTATTCGTTTCTTTCAAAAAATATTACGGACCCCAAACCTTTGAACAGTAGTGCATTTCATGGAACATTCAGTAATATTAGCTGATGCTGCGATGATGTCATCTGACTTCTGTGGTCCATTAAGAGTGTGTCTTGTGTAGTCACATGACTTCACAATGTCTGACCTCAGAACAACTGGTTGATTCTATCAGTTAAATGACTCTGCTAGCTCTTGAATGTGAAATATGGTCATTGTTACAGGACAAGAATCTCTGATCGTAGTGTTTTAACTGGGTTATTATTTTACATATCATTTAAAAAAAGAATATGTGTAACGTTTTAACAAGTAACAAGTAACAAGTTTAAACATTGCACCATCCAGTACCTCAAATCTAAATAGTTGTTTGTGGGCATACAACTTGATTCCCTTCTTATGCAGTTTAATAGATGTAGCACTGTGCTTCAGCCGCTTTATATCAATGCGTGTGCCATTTCCCAGTCTATTTCTGTGAACCCCATGACTCGCTTGGCCTCCTGCATCTATTCACGCAGCTGCTGCTGACACTGACCTGCAATACGAGACCCAGAGGCCCACGATTCTCTATCTCCACCTTTCCTTTTCTTTATTATGACTTCAAATGCCACGTTAGCATGCATAGACATAATCTACTGCCAGTGCCATCATTTGGTTTTTCATCAGTTTGAGGAAATTATTTTATAGAAGCACTTCATGTCCCATTTATTTGACTGATCAGCACTTTTCCAGGTGTACTATTGAGTGATAGATGTTACAGGTGGGTTGCATGGGATGCCTGGAAAGGCAAAGCCATGTAGTTTATATCCCAAGATTAAAGGAACGACCTGCATGATATGAGAGTTGCATAATTGCATAGTCATCTGCACATATAAATAGTGTATGGTTGGTCATAGCTTGCATTTTTGTGTTATTTCACAGTTAATTGTGAAATTTTCGGTAAGAAATGGCAGCTGTGGTTGCCAGAAATGCCACAAATATGGAAGTAACGTTTTAGGTTTTACTGATTGAACTTAAATATGCAGTATATAACAATGTATATTTCATTAACAATGATACATGATTCACAACGATTCATGACACAATGTTAAAATACCAGCTTACTGAATTACTAAAATCTGTTTTGTACCTTTATAATACACTGACAACCATCACAAAACACAGACGGTAATGAGAAAGCCACATGTAGAATATAGTAGTTTAGTAAGGGAACTTACCATTAACCAATCAACAGGTTTTTCTGTAGCATTTTACAGTCTTTTACCATTAAAATTATGAAAATGTTTAGTAGTGCAGACATTTTCACTTTTGTATGTGTTCAAAACAAGCATTGAAGCATTGCTGTTGAGATTTAGCATAAAGGTAATTGGCAAAAACCCCCAAAACAAAACAGAAAAAGTGGTTAAAAATGAGACATTTGAACCAAAATCACTTCCATGAGGAAGTGGCATAGTGTGTGTAAGTTAAACAGCTGATCTGATCATGTTATTGTAAGGAGAGTCCACACCCTCCATTGAGGGAAGAGAGATCAGTTTGATGTAGACACACTGGGGAAAAGTAGAGCAAGTTTCAGGTTATATTTCTCACAACCACATTTAAGGGCAACCCTCCTCACACCTCTCTCTGTCAATACTCAGTCACTTTAGCTTACAATTAACTTGCACTTCTTTTTTTAAAAAGGTAATATTTTTATTGATTATATAAGGTAATATATTTACTGTTATTATTATTATTATTATTTTTATTTTTTTAATTATCCATTTATGATAGGAGTAAGTTTTTTTTTTAAGTACGTTTTTTTTCATTATAATTTATTCAATTCATCGTTGCAAAGCAACTTTACAGAAAATTAAGTTTCTACAATATTTAGTAGTAGCTTATCAGTGGTGACTGTCAGTTAATGTACATGCTAAATGTATTTATGCAAAATGTATGCATCAGAAATTATGCAAAAATAATTTCACTGATTTTAAATATACAGAATATATGTTGTTGGCATTTAAATGTGGGTGGTCAAGTATTCATCTGTCTGATGTCTGAAAGTTGTGTAAGTGTGTAGAATGAATCCTTTTTGTAGCCTTGATTCAATAAAACAATCTCTTTTTGGTAGGGATGTACCGATTCACTCAACTCACGATTCGATTCGATTCACGATTTTTTTTTAACAAAATGAGATTTAAGACAAATTATAAATTAAATGTGTCCTTTTATTATTGCCTGAACAAAAGCATACACGCAACATGAGCAGTTTTTAATCTAAATTAAATTGTATATTTTCAAAATTTGATGCAAGAACAGAATGGTTTGACTTCAGTTTTGTGAAACTATGCATAAAAAAATGTCTGCATGAAACAGAAACAGCAGACGAGCTGAATGAGACGCAAGCTGTGTCTCATTTAGCTCCTCAAACATTGAACAAAATAAAACAAGTAAAAGCATTTTTTTTTTTCAAATTACTTTCCAAATTTAGAAATAATTTTCCTTTGTTTAAGTAGTGTGAGAGCGCAACGATGCTCTAAATGTGTTGGCAAAGCAACGTGATACTTCCTGTTTCCTTTTCCGCCTGTCCTACGAAGGCCGTCTCGTTTAATTCTAGATTGAGGACACTTCGTATATGCATCCTACAGAGGATGCGACCTCCAGAGGATTCGACCTCCGGAGGGTGCAGCCTTCTAAATGAGACACAGCGGCAGATTCACTCTTTGCCAGCAGGTGGCGTTTAAAGCGTTCCCTTGGTTACCGCTGTAAACAAAGCAGTGCTGCACTTATGAACTTTAATATGCATTATACAGAGGCAAGATAAATACCATCGAAAGACAGCAAGTTCCCCTCAGACATGGATTCATATAAACTCCTACCCCTAATTGAATCGTTTCAACCGGCTCGCGGTTAATCGTTACATCCCTACTTTTTGGACTTGGCAGTTTTGAGATGAAAATTACAGTATGTTTTCATAGTACAGTGAACTCTTTTATCTCAAATGATTTCTCATGTTAGCATGGACATATTTTAAGATATGTCACATGTGTTGGCTATTGGCCTGACCTGTCATGATGCGTCTCTCAGTTACTTTTTTTAAATAGCAGAAACATATTTTGTTCTGCAACTGCTCACATTATGCAAAATGCTAGCCTGTTAGAACAGGAACAAATAATTTGAACTTGATCTTAAAGAAGCTCCAGCATTCCACGCAATAAAGCCAGCTAATGTTTTCCTGTATGTGGGTCAGATGAGTAACCTAATAACCAAACTGAGTGCGCATGATAGTAGTCCCTTTCTTCATGCTGATGGAGACTAACCTCCTTAAAGCAATACCCTAGGGAATTTTAGGTGTATGATTGAAAATCTTAGTTATATTTTCACAGTTTGAGTCATTTTAAATTTCAGTTCTTTGTGAAGAGCAATACAGCTTCATCCATTGTTCCATGCTCACTAAACAAACTGAATGATAGTGTATTATATGTACTCTCAGTGTGGAACAGGAGCTATGATGTTTCTGCTTTGTTACATGTTATTGTGTGTTATTTGTCATTCACAGGCAGCCAGACAAACTGCGAGTGGTTTGGACCAGGCGAAACAGACGCATCTGCAGCAAGGTAGAAGGAGGATGTGGGCTTTTAGTGTTACTGTTTCCACGTTTATAGTTTTCAAGTACTATATAAAGATGTGGCTGTGGTTACTGTACCTTGACATTTATTCAACTGGAATAGTAAAGCTAGAGCACAACTGTAAGTGCAGAACAGTACTTTTTTTTTTTTCTTGTTTAAGATTACGAGTCAGGACGTGTTCTCTAAATTGAATCTTTACAAATTTTACAGAGGAGGACAATAAATATAAGCATATTAGTGTCATTAGTAACCACGCAGAAAATGTTTGCAAAGCAGAAATAACAAGTACTTCCTCCTAGCACATAAATCAATTGGTGGCACTGATTGGTGATGCAATAATAATTTCAACACACAAATACAGTGGGATGATTCATTAATATAGATGAGGCCTAATCCTTTTATACCTTATTATTAGTGATTTTTTTTCGTTGTATAAACATCAGATATATTTATCTGACTGGGTATAAGCAGCAACAAACTAAATAATAGTATATGTACTTCCAGTGTGGAACAGGAGCTATGATGTTTTTGTATTGTAATGTGCTATTGTGTGTTATTTGTCATTCACAGGCAGCCAGACAAACTGCGAGTGGTTTGGACCAGGCGAAACAGACGCATCTGCAGCAAGGTAGAAGGAGGATGTGGGCTTTTAGTGTTACTGTTTCCACGTTTATAGTTTTCAAGTACTATATAAAGATGTGGCTGTGGTTACTGTACCTTGACATTTATTCAACTGGAATAGTAAAGCTAGAGCACAACTGTAAGTGCAGAACAGTACATATTTTTTTTTTCTCGTTTAAGATTACGAGTCAGGACGTGTTCTCTAAATTGAATCTTTACAAATTTTACAGAGGAGGACAATAAATATCAGCATATTAGTGTCATTAGTAACCACGCAGAAAATGTTTGCAAAGCAGAAAGAACAAGTACTTCCTCCTAGCACATAAATCAATTGGTGGCACTGATTGGTGATGCAATAATAATTTCAACACACAAATACAGTGGGATGATTCATTAATATAGATGAGGCCTAATCCTTTTATACCTTATTATTAGTGATTTTTTTTCGTTGTATAAACATCAGATATATTTATCTGACTGGGTATAAGCAGCTGTGTTAATAGCAGTGTTCTCATTGTCTTGATCAGCTTCATGGCTGGCAGCCAGGTATCAAGAACCCATACAGGGGGACTGTGGTTTGGCAGGTTCCTGAGAGCGTGGACATCACTGTCACTCTTTTCAAGGTGAATATATGATATAAAAATAATTCCATGAACGCTACTATTTAAAAGTTTGAGTACGATTTTTTTTTTTTTGAAAGAAATTAAGTTTTATTCAGCAATGATTTAATTGATTAAATCTTTTATATTGTAAAAAAAAAAATCACATTGTTACCAAAAATTTCTGTTTCAAATAAATTATGTTCTTTTAAATTTTCTATTGATAAGACAATCCTGAAAAAAATTATCAAATTTTTCACAAAAAGTTTAAACGGCACAACTGTTTTCTACATTAGGCACCAAATCAGCATATTAGAATTGTTTCTGAAGGATCATGTGACATTGAAGACTGGGGTAATACAAGAGCACAGAAAATATAACAAAAAAAGAGAGAAATGAAAGTGTAGATGAAAAGCAACTTTTGTAGGGGCTGTATATTTTTTTGAGAAAGAAAATGGCACAATATCACTTACCATCCTCAACATGATTGAATCGTCCCAGAACAAAGTTGATACCTATCCATGCATATACTCCTGCAAAAAAACAAAACAAAAAAACAATTGAATTCCACTGAATTCAGTTTTTTACTCAAAAGAAAAAAAAACTTTTTTAAAAGAAATAATACTTTTATTCAGCAAAGATTCATTAAATTCATCCAAAGTGACAGTAAAGACACTTGTTACGAAATAAATGCTGTTTTGAACTTATTCAACAAACAATCCTGAAAAAAAGCATCACCGTTTTCTTAAAAATATTAAGCAGCACGACGGTTTTCAACATTGATAATAATTAGAATTGTCTCTTTAGCAGCAAATGAGAATTTTAGAATGATTTCCGAAAGATCATGTGACATTGAATACTGTGGTAATAATGCAGAAAATTCAGCTTTGCATCACAGGAATAAATTACATTTTAAAATATATTAATATGGAAAACAGTTATTTTAAATTGTAATAATATTTCATAATATTACTGTTTTTACTGCGTTTTTGAAAAAATAAATGCAGCCTTGGCAAACTTATAAAGACCTCTTTCGAAAACATTAAAAATGAAATCATCCCTAAACTTTTGACCGGTAGGAAATTGAGATAATTTGTGCAATAATGTAAATTATGTGAAAAATAATGCGTTTTTCGAACCACCAAGCATGAGAGCATGTTCTAGTACACCCCCAAAACAAAATCAAGACTTTGTAAAAGAGCATAATAGGACCCCTTTAAATATGCAAATTATAAACTAATAAAAGCTGTAAAAATGAATTTTGTCATTGTTATATAAATATTATTTAAATGCCCTATAATCCATGTCCACATCATCAGCAATATTCACTTTCCCTTTAGGATCCAAATGCAGATGAATTTGAGGACAAAGACTGGACCTTCATCATAGAAAATGTGAGTCTTTCTACTCTGTAATCTCACCCTGTTTATTAAAGGTGCTGCTAGCAATTTTAGCTGTTTGCTAACCTCAACCACAAAAGCATTTCTGTTTTGGTTAAAAAAGTGTGGGCCACTCCCTGACTCTTTTTCTCTGTTTAATAAACTGAGGGCTGTGACAGAAACGGGTCAGGAGGATGTAGGAACATTTTATGTGTGTTTCTCTTTTGCAATATTTTGTTATCAAAAGACAGCAATTTTGAAAAAGCATGTCTTGAATTATGTTGTTATGGCTTCATCGATTTGGCAGTACGCTCCGGTTTGAAAGTACTGTGCTCTAACCCCATCTCATCCCAACAGGAAACAAAGGGCCACCGAAAAGTTTTAGCGTCAGTGGATGTGAACATGAAGAAGTACGCGAGCGCGACCCCGACTCAGTTTGACCTGGCACTTACACTAAAGCCTCTGTCTGTGAAAGTGTTGGATGCCACACTTAAACTCACCCTGTCCTGTGTCTTCCTGAAGGAGGGCAAAGCTACGTGAGTTCGGATGATTTCAACATTCCACTAGGAAGATGTGTTTCTCTAGATCTGTGTAATGATGTAAAAGCATCAGTCAAAGCAGACGACACATACAGTGTGAACTACATTTTATTAACTTTACTGATCTATAGTTTTAGTAGGCCTTCAATTATCTTACTGTATTCTGTGTTGTGCATTCAGTGATGAAGACATGCAAAGTCTGGCGAGTCTGATGAGTTTGAAGCAGTCTGACATTGGAAACCTGGAGGACTTCAATGACAGCGATGAAGAGGAGGACAAAAGAATGTGTGCAGCAGTGAAAATGGCCACAGCAGTAATAGGTAATACTGACATACACACACGGTCTTAAGTACACATACTATAAACCTTGACGCTGAAACCAGAAGTTTGGAAACAAGTTTAGAAACAGGCATTTCCTGTTCTGAAAAGGATATTTGCAGTTTTTTTTTTTTCTGGCGTTGTGTTGTTTCCTGGTTTTATGAAACTTGGTGGAGATGTAGATAACCTGGTGGTTGTTTGCTGATTTTAGTGGTTTGGTTGTATTGAGTTGATTTAATGTTTGCCCCAGTTAATGCTGTATTACAGCTGTAAAGGTAGCTTACATGCGGTTGGCCACGACAAACACAGAATCTGGAAATATTATCTCTCTTTCACGTTGTAGAATTCTTTTTTTTTTTGTTATTCTTTTCTCAAACAGTCTCTTTCTTTTTCATTCTTTGTCTGTCGCTCTGTTCTTTCTGTCTGTGGTCAGCTCCTCTTCCTCCAGCTAGGAGAATACATGACAAGGCTTGGAGACCTGCTGTAGACACAGGTCCCTCTGACACAGGTAGATTACTGACTGCTCTGGCTTATTTTTCCACTCTCTTTCTTCCCTTTACACTGGAATTAACATTTTGTTTTTTTGGTATGATAATATTCAAATGAAGTACTATGGGGTGTTACAGTTTTCTACTGCTCAATTTGTATCATGACTGTTTCAGGTTGGTAAATACTTGCATCACAACTGGGCAGCACTGATTAAGAAATCTGAAGCTTGATATTGCTAACTGAAAATTTGACACTGTGATTGGCTGATATTTATTCATTTGCATTGTTTGTTTTTCAATGAGCCCCTTTATTAAGTCTTATGCCATAGCAAAATGCACCAATGTATAAATAATGCACTTGAACAATTTAGTTCAGTAACATTTAATGTGTATGATTATATTAATTGATCTATTATTGTATATTCTAAATTTACATATACATATATATGTATATGCATTAAGATTATTCTTTGCATTCTTCTTTATATACATTATTGAATTATTTATATAGAATTTATATAAAAACAAACAAGCACACACATGTATACACACAAACACAAAATTTGTACAAAATACCATAAAATAATATAAATATTAAATATAAAAAAAAGAAATGTATAAAATAATACAATAAATATTCAAATTTATACACGCACATACAAATATACATATTTATTGTCTTTTTTAAAATATATTTCTTATTGTGTATATTTTATATTTATATTATTTTATACATGAACCATGGGTATTTTTGTACAGATTTGGTGTTTGTACTGGCACCATTTCACCAATATACACTCAAGTGTAAATTACTTTAGTTGTGCAAATTGAACATAATGTTACTACTTAAACTTATGGAAACATCTAAAAGTCAAAACCAGAAATTTAGTAGTAGAGATCATGAATATCACAAAAACTATTTCAAACTGAATATATAATTGTTTCATGTCGTATCAGATACTAGAAATAAGGTTATCAGAAGTAATGCACTTTCTAACTCGGGTTGCTACACTGTATTTGGATAGACTGGTTTCTTTGGCCTGTTTTGAATCTGTAAGAAAGTGGGTGAAATTGCATAATGCATTCCCATGACCTCAGCATACCAGTGGTCATAAGTTTGTGTGTGTGAGAGTTTATCTGAGATCTGCATCTCTTCCTGGTGTCACTCATTTTCTTCTCTTCTGAATTATTCCCTGCTCATTTGAGTTCCTCTTTGTCTCTCTGCATTTGTTGTCTGCTACCTCTCAACTCTTAACTTCCTCTGTTTTTGTCTGTCCTTCTCCATAATCATGATCATTTCTCTCAGCTCATTCTGAACCGGAGCGGATGAGCTGTTCCTTCATTACGCCTAATGTTCCTCTCCAGTACCGCCCTCTGTCATACTCCGCTCTTGACCCTTCTGCCCCGCCCCTCTCCACTTCCTGTATCCAACCCCCCCGTGCTGCCGGCAGTGTCCCGCAGACACGCCCCTCCCCGTACGCCTTCACTGTACCTGCATTTACACGTGCGCATCCACCTGCCCTGCCCAAAATCTTCCAGCCGCCGACAGGCTCAGGTACAAACACTCATCCACCCGGTGCAATGCAGCAGATCACCACAGAGTTGTGCTGGTCTCCATCCGCTGCACTGTGTACATGTCCATACCTCATAGATCATCCACAAACTCACTCTTCTGTTATTACTTACAGTACAAGTTTTGGTGTGTTTTAAAGGTGTCTAAAAGTTAAAACAACAATAAATTCATGCACTACTAAAAAAGTTTTTTTTTTTTTTTGAAAGAAGACTGTTATGCTCGCACAGGCTGCATTTATTTTTGATAAAAAAAAACTAAAAACCTTAATACTGTGGAACATTATTATAATTTCAAATAACTGATAACTGATAAAATATTTTAAAATGTAATTTATTCCAGTGCTGAATTTTCAGCAGCCATTACTCCAGTCTTCAGTATCACATGATATTTCAGAAATTATTCTAATATGCCGATTTGCTGCTTATGAAACATTTTATTTTATATTATATTTTATATTATTCTAAATGTAAGGATTTAGGCTTCTTTGATGAATAGAAAGTTTAAAAGAACTGCGTTTTTTAAAAATAAAAATAAATCTTTTTTAACATTATAAATGTATCTACTTTTAATAAATAAAATATTTATATTATAATGATAATAATAAGAAAAGTTGAATGAGCACCAAATCAGCATATTATAATGATTTCTGAAATATCATGTCACTTTTTATCAATATAATACCCTTGCTAAATGAAATTATTCATTAAAAAAAAAAAAACTTTTGAGCATCAGTGCATCTCATAAATTGACTATATATCTTGCAATTGCAACTACTTCACATTTTGACTATTTTAAACTGAATTTGTTATATTCATGCTGAATATCTGCATGAAATTCTGAGACAGCTATTTTTTAAAAATGTAGTTTAAGAGATCAAATCAAGAAATTAATTAGAAACTATTGTTTCTGGCAACAAGGTCTGCAGAGGTATTGTGTGGAACATTTTTAGAATAATTTTTTTTTCTTTTGAGCATACTTCATTTCTAGATTCATTAAAAGGGATCTCAATTGACGTTTGGAAAACTGCCCATTAAAAACAACAGAGGAATTTTAAGGCTGATGTTTAAGGAAGCAACAGCCTGATCCCCATAGTGTAGCACCCTGTGAATTTGTTCATCAAACTAGCTATATATCCAGCCCCTGACTTTTACCATTCTTGCCCTGTCACAACTTGATCTAATGAACCTTATTTACCTCAATCTAATGAGTGTTTTTGCCTCCTTTTAAACACACACATCAACAGATATACAAAAAGCTGTAGCTTTACTTTCTATTTTCTGTTCTTTTTACCCCTCCACCTCTCATCATGCTATAATTTTTCCTTCTCCCTTTAAGTTGCTGTATCTGTCACTCAAAGGCCATCTGGAGGTCTTGCTAGGTCTGAGTTATTGGAGAGTAGTCGATCTGCTGAGGGCGGTGCAGTTCCTCACCAGAGGCCTCTCTCTTTTCTTCCTGGGATTAGCACACCCTTCTCTCTATCCTCTGCTCAATCCTCCTCGTCCCCTCAGCAGACTCCTCTACCTGATATAACCCAGAAAGGTAATGAGTATTGCCCATAAATCAGTAAAAGATAGTTGCTATAGCTCATAAATAATTGTATTGTAGCTTGCATTATCTGTGTAATGTATTTTTGCTTATTTGATATTTGCACATTTTTCATTTTTACCTTTACTGTTGCTGCTTCACCTTGCTTCCATTCTGTCGTCTTTTCTATTCTTCTCTTTTCTGTCTCACTGTTTTCTCCCCCGACTTAGCCACCCATTCTGCTGCTCGTAGCAGGACCTGGAGACCTCACAGTTTTCCCTCTTCACACTCCTCCCCTTGTGATTTCGACCCCTCCTCCTTTGAGTTTGGCTCCTCCCCTCATGGTCCAATGCCTGTACCTGCACCACGGCCCTCAAAAATCTATCGCGCCTCATTGGCTGAGCCAGGCTCCGCCCTTACAAAACCTACGAGCATGCCCTCTGCCACTGAGACAGGTACATGGGGCTGATGTTCATATTTTAACTCATTTTTAAATCTGATGCCATTTGATTTTAAAGTTTAATTTGTACCACATATTTCATGTTCAGTACCCAGCTTTCTAAAATTGATTTGGAGGTCATAAAGAGTTGTAAAGTCACTGTGAAAGACCCTATGAAAGAGTTTTATAGCTTTTAGTCCATGTTTGTTAGCTTTGAGTCTATTTATATACTTGTGTACTCCTAAAAGTTGACCAAGTTTTACCAGATAAAAATTTGGCATTGGTAAGATTTGTTTGTTTTTTAAAAGTCTACTAAGGCTGCATTTACTCATCATTTCTCCAGTCTTCAGTGTCACATGATCCTTCAGAAATCATTCTAATATGCTGATTTGCTGCTCAAGAAGCATTCTTATTATTATCAATGTTGAAAACCATTGTGCTGCTTAATATGTTTGTGGACATCGGGATACTTTTTTCAGGATTCTTTTCAGCTCAAAACAACAGTAATCTGTGTGTTATAGAAAGATGAACCAAAACATAGCTGACTCTCTAGAATGTCAATATCCCCTACCCTAAATTATAAATACCACCTTCCTCAATTAACAATAGCAAGTAGCAAATGGCTGTGGCATAAATGTTACATTTTTACTTTTTTTTTTTTACATTGTTATCATTTGCAAATCTATGCTAATCATACATTTTTCTTTTTTCTTTTTTTTTTCTTCCCCCTGTAACACTGTCTACTTATTATACATGCACTCTGTCATCATTTACCATGGTAAACTCCAGCATCTTGGCAAAAAGAGTGGAGGCCTCCCAAGCTACACCCTACTCTGTGTCCTGCTCCTCTCACCACTGCGGAGCATATTAACCAGCAGCATCATCCAGCCTCAGTGACCTCCTCTCCTCCTGCAGAAACCTCTGCTCTAATGTATGTCCCCCTTCCTGCAATGTCTTCATCCCGTGTGCTTCCTCAACCAATGGACACCTCTACCATTACTCTCAATCCTGCTGTAACATCTCCCAGTGTGGCTCCTTCCTCTGAGATGCCCAGCGTTCAGTCAGTCTCTACTTCTTGCTCTCAAACCCTGTCAGCTGCCATCCGTTCTCCTGCTGCAGCATCACTGGTTTCTCCCTCCATTGCTCCTGCTGCTTCATTTAGTCCACCCCTTATCCATGTGTTTCTGATGCTCCTCTAAGTTCCATTCCTGATGTTAGTCCTGTGGTCAATGCACCCGTTGTTGCCGAGTCAGGTAGAGAACAAACACTCTAGGATAACTCTTCTAAACCTGTTTGCCCATGTGTTAAACTAATGCAATTAGAAAAGAAATTAGTTTTCATCTGTTGAGTTTAAGATGAAAAAATCATCTGCATTGTCAAAGGGTTTTGGATGCCCTTTCAGTGGAGCATGAATACTGTGAAAGTTCTAATCCTCGTTGTCTGAATCAACCATGTCTAATTTCTTTTAAAGGCATGGTTCATCCAAAAATGAACATTTTAATTATTTACTCACCCTCATGATGTTCCAAACCTTTTGGCTTTTGAAAAGACTCTTTGGAAGTAAAATAAGGGTGAATGTCTTTCAATTCTAACTTTGTAACATCAACTTATTGAACTTAATTGAAGCGACACTGAACTGAGTTGAGCTGAATAATGAGACTATTGTCTTCTGTACAGCTTTACAGCTAAAATTTAATTAATTTTATAATTTTACAAGATGAACATTATTATTTTCCTGTTAATTATGGTGAAGCTGCTTTGAAATCTGTATTGTATAAAGCACTAAATAAATAAATAAATGTAATTTCATAAAATTAAATACATTTTAAATTAATAGTTCACCCAAAAAATGTGTTAAATATTTTCTCACCCTCAGGCCATCCAAGATGTAGATGAGTTGTTTCTTCATCGGAACAGATTTGGGGAAATTTATAATTTCATCACTTGCTCACCATCTTCAATACCATGAGGTGAGACCCTTGAGCAAGGCACCGAACCCCCAACTGCTCCCCAGGTGCCGCAGCATTGGCTGCCTACTGCTCCGGGTGTGTGTTCACGGTGTGTGTGTTCGTGTTTGTTCACTACTCACTGCTGTGTGTGTGTGCACTTGGATGGGTTAAATGCAGAGCACAAATTCCAAGTGGGGTCACCATACTTGACCCCACACTTCACGTCCTCACCAGTGGATCCTCTGCAGTGAATGGGTGCCGTCAGAATGAGAGTCCAAACAGCTGATTAAAACATCACAATAATAAGCAATCCACATGACTCCAGTCCATCAGTTATCGTCTTGTTAAGCAAAAATCTGTGTGTTTGCAAGAAACAAATCCATCATTAAGATGATTCTAACTTCAAACTGTTGTTTACGGCTAAAATGAGAGTCCTCTATTCATAATATTGATTCAGAAGAGAAATATGCACAGATCAAGTACCGTTTACAAGTGAAAGCAGTTCCAAACAAATATGTGGGTGGATTTTGATGTGAGAGGACAACAGTGGATGCACTGTGTTTTTATGCATTATGGACTTTCTGGTATTTTAGCCAGAAACAATGGGTTAAAGTTAAAATGTCTTAAATATGGATTTGTTTCTTACAAGCATGCAGCTTTTCTTGCTTCACAAGATGTTAATTGATGGACTGGAGTCGTGTGGATTACTTGTGGATTATTGTGATGTTTTTATCAGCTGTTTGGACTCTCATTCTGATGGCACCCATTCACTCCTAGAATCCTTTGGTGAGCAAGTCACGTAATGCTAAATTTCACCAAATCTGTTCTGATGAAGAAACAAACTCATCTACATCTTGGATGCCCTGAGGGAGAGTACATTTTGAGCATTTTTTTTTTTAGGTGAACTATTCCTTTAAGCTGTGAACATATTTTGAATGGAAAAATTTCACATGCAATTTTATTATTAAAAAATTCAGCAATCAGTATTCACATGTTAATTTCCAAAATATTATACAAAAAAGCCTCCTATAATTTTCGACAGACAATTTTCAGTAATTTTATTTTACTTCACGAATTCACTTCCATATTTGTAAATTCAGTGGAGACGTTGCATATCCGGTAACTGTAGGAATAGCAGCAATGCATAATCTCCATCTGCTGTTAGTTCGCTTCACCAGTAGGTTTTGTTTTAAAGATGTGTCATTATTTTACTTCCATATGAGCCTGAATAAAAGTAAAAGAATTGCCATTTTTGGGTGAACCTAAACCCTTTGCACTCATCTCCTCATCCATCATTCTTCTTTTGTAATCATTCTCTCCTTTTTCTGTCATCTTCCTTTCTCATCTGGTCAATGTCAACCTCAGAGCCTCTCCCAGAGGTCCAGACGTATGAATGGAGACATCAGGTTGTGCCCACAGTGGTTAGACCTAATGTGCGCAGGCCAATAGCCCCTCTTCCTGTAGATGCCCCTACCTCTCCTTTCTCTTCCTCTCCTTTTATTCTTCCTTCACCCTCTTCCATGATCCCTGACCCCCACATTTATACCCAAACTTCCACTGTAGCCCCTGTTATTGCCTCCATTTCAGTCCCTTCCACTGACTCACTCACAGGTACATATGCTGGCCTGAACCTTTATCTGTGCTTCATTCTCATTCTCTGTGTGTGTTGGTACTGTCATTGCTGTACATATGTGTGTTGTATGTTGAGTAGATAACAAAGAACAGATTTTAAACGTCTTGAGCTAGTGAGATCTGTTTTAGATTACACTCCAACATTTTTTGCATAACAGTACAAAGTCAGAAGGCCAAACATTCCATTCTTCCCTGTGAATTGACTTCATCCATCATAACTATATAACAGTTTAAACTGTCAGTATTTCTGACTCACTGTTACAGTGTTTTTTTTTTAAACATTAAGGCAGCGTTACGTTAAACAATATTTATGTTTTATTATAGTGTTTTGAATTGTCACTTTTTCCACAAACGTACAGAAGTTTCAATGGGGACAAGCTTTTGTACAAGAAAACAGAAATGGAGATTATCAGTGACAATCAGATAGCATATTATTTGCACATTTCTTAAATTACATTGTTATGCCCCCTGGAGGACACATGAACAAAACTAGTTGGTAACAACAAACTGTTAATGTTATAATATACACTACTGTTGCTGATTTGGCGCTCAAGAAACATTTCTTATTATTTTCAATGTTGAAAACAGTTGTGCTACTGAATATTTTTGTAAGACAGTGACTAATAGAAAGTTCAAAAGATCAGCATTTATTTTAAATAGAAATGTTTTGTAAAATTATAAATGTCTTATCACTTTTGATCAACTTGATGTATTCTTGCTGAATAAAAGTATTAATTTCTTTTAAAAAACTCTCTTCTAGTGAATGATGTTAGATATATCATAACAGATGATCGATTGATAAATTGATAAGATTGATAAGATACATGTAGCTTGTATGATTTGCATGAATTTGATTAAATACTGATCTTACAAGGAGATTTGTACTTTAACAAACAAGTATGAGGCTTATGGCATCTGATAATAATAATGCCTCAGCAGAATGCCGGAATGCTGCATTTGTGCTTAATATGTTGTTATAGATATTTTATATTATTATGACATATTATACATTTCTGTTTCAGAGCAACACAGACAGTTAAGTGTATTAGCAGAGGAGGAATGTCCCAATACAGTGTATTCTGGTAAGCATACACTACAGCTGCTTTAACAGCTAATCTTTCATTGTATATAAATTTGAGTGTTTTCTTTGACATACTAGTCATTCTTGTGTGATCTTTGGGCATATTTCGACAGCTGATGAGGATGCAGATGTTAAGCCAACAGATGTTCATCAAACCTATGAACCCCACCCTCGCAGAGCCGGAGTCATCAGTATAGCCAACCAAAGACCAAACAGCAGTATGGACAAGCAACAGCCTGTTTTTGGACTTGAGGTTTTGCGGCCTGCAAAAGGGTGAGTAATATGTAGAAAACTGAGTGTTGCTGATTGGTTGGTGTAAATAACAAGTGCATAGGTGTGAACAAGTGTTAGTTGACACCAGCAAAGCACTGACAATTTGGTTTCAATATCTGGTATACTTGAGTGTTGCATTTACTACTATGGGTGACTTTGGTGTGAACACAGAACTCTTGGTTCTTTGACTTTTCTGGAAATCTTGGATGAAACTGTAACAGCCTAATGTATTTTTTATTGTATTTTATTGTATTATGTGGAATCAAACTGAATGTTTTGGTGTGATTATAAATGTTGATCATAAATGTTAATGATTACTTACATTTGTGAGGACTTTAAACCTATTTTAAAACCAAAAGTTAACATTATGATATAAATTTAGACAAGTTGGGCAACTGACCACAAGGTGACAAAAGCAACAAAAGAGTTTTGAATTTTAATAATTTTTTAATTTATTTACATTTTGAGGCTATTGGGTTTCTTTGGTTTAAATTCAGGGTTAAAGTCACTTAATTTGCTTTTTTGGATTAGTTTGTATGTTGAAACAATTGGCACATTGCAATGAATGAATGAAGGAAGGAAGGAAAAAATAATAATATATGAGCATTTTTATGTTTATACAAATGCTAGCATGAAACAATTTTGTTTTGTTTTTAAATTGCTTAAAATACTTTAAATATCAGCATGGTGTTTCATTAACACTTTATTAATTTCAGAGAAAGGTAATTCACATTGTTTCAAAGTGATGCAATCCCATATAATTTAGATATTTTTTTGTTCTTGGTGTAATCCCAGCACTCTTCATCAGTTCTGATGTGTTTTCTTCCTAGACCAGAGAGTATGACCTCTCTGCTGCCCAGTGACCAGAAGTCACCTTCTGTCACTGGTGTCACACATTTTGAGGTGTCAAAATCAGAGCTGTCTGATACAGATAGAGTACCCACCCACGCAGCCCTCGAAACTGTCCCAGAACCTGCTGCGGCCCCTACATTCACCGGCCCATTAACTGAGGTCCAGATCAATCAATCCGAGAATTCACAGAGCTCTGCTGAGGTGGTCATATTACACCCAGCTGCACATGAGCAGACAGAAGATGAGATGATTCCTCATAAAGACAAGGCAGAGCCCTTTCGAAGTAGCGTTCAACTAGCAGAAATGCAAGCGCAAAAGGCCAGCCCAAAATCTGTTCCACAGCTGCTCTCAAATACAGAAATGTCCCAGTCAGATCACACTGGTGAAGGGTAAGTGGGGAATGATGCACGTTATAAGACAGCATATAGTTACTGGGTTACATTTAAAGCTTGTTACGCTATATTAATATAAAATGCATATACTGTATGTGTTGCGGTCCATTTGCTTATTATTATTCATAAATCCATTTTACATCCTCCCTCTGATCTCTGTTCTAATGTCCCTGTCCCTCAGCACCAAAAGCATGGCCGCTTTGCTGCCCTCTTGCCCAAAAGAGTCCCATTCTCCTTGGTCGCCATCAATATTAGCTGACGACATAACTGAGAATCAAATAGGAGACTTTTATGTAGACAGACTACCTAGGATGAACCAGGAAGTCTGTGCTCTCCCTGTTTGCAAGAAAGCACATGAAGGAGAAGAACCCAATGTCGACAGTTCTCCATCTGTTCCCAACATGATATATCTTCTTCCAGCCTGTCCGAGAACTGCTTTTGCACCTGGGATGCCATCTATAACCTTTCAAGACACAAAGTGGCCTTGGGACGAGTCTGTGAAGATACTGAAAGAGTACATTCAAAAGGAGAAACCAGAAAGACTTATTGAAGATATGGATTGCTCATTGTATAACCAAAGCACAGTAGAAAATATGGTGTCCTTACAGTTAACTTGTCCAAGAACTGCCAGCATCCCAGGATTCCCATCTTTGCCGTTCTGTATGGTCAGTCTCCTTCCATTATGTCCAGATGTCTCTGTAGTTCCAGGTTTACCTTCAAGATCTCCAATCATTTGCACAGATGAAACTTGGCCTAAAGAGAATTTAGTATTTTATTTTAGAGAAATCAAGCAACAGATTTCGCCAATGTCCTTAACAAAGGTGGATTTTGAAACTGCAAGAAAGATGGTTGCATTGAGGTCATCTTGCTCAGCAGCACCCAAGGCTCCAGGATTTCCATCTGCTCCAAAACCAGTTGCACCAAGTATGGTCAGGATTTCGCCATGTTGTCCAAAAGTTTCCTGCATTGCTGGATTTCCATCTGCAAAAGTACTTGCCAGTCAAAATGTCTTCCAACAGTGGCCATCCAACAATCAATCATCTGTGATAATAGCACAAAGGAACCAGTCCAGTTTGCCTCAAGTTGTAAATATATTGAAAGAGGACCAGTTAACAGAGATGGTGAACTTGGTACCATCTTGCCCGAGAAAAGCAAGGACTCCTGGTTTTCCATCTGCACCAAAACAAAAACAACACATTGCATTCTGTATAACAAAACTTCTACCTTTATGTCCAACAGCCTCTTGTGTCACTGGAATTTCAGCTATACAAATTCTTACAAGCACATCAGATTCACTTAAGGAGTGGCCAAAGGATATTAAACCGTTTTGGATGAAGACACTAGCATCTCAGACATGTCATTTAATCTGTCCATGTCCAGCTCAGTATGAAGTTGCAGAAAACAATATGTTGTCAATGATACCATCATGCCCAAGAAAAGCAAGAACACCTGGATTTCCTTCGTCACCGTGGCTCATCCCTGAAACACAAATAACGTCTGGTACTCTATCAATATGCCCATGGACAGCTAAAACGCCAGGCTTTCCCTCTTTAGTCCCAAGCCAAATTGATAAGGATTTCATAGATAATTGGCCCTTTAAGGAGAAAGCTTTTTGTATGAGGTGTCCGCCAATGTACACATCTGACAAGTTAGACATTGCTCATCAGGACAAAGAGAGTTTTAAAGGAATGTATTCTATTTTGCCAAGTTGTCCAGTGAAAGCAAGTGTTCCTGGCTTTCCATCTGCACCAAAACCCAAATTAATGGTTTATCTTTTCCATTCTTGCCCAACAGTCTCAAATGTACCTGGGATGCTATCGAGCATAATATCTGAAGAGAAATTACAGTGGCCTGTAAATGAAATGCCACTATGGGTTAAACAATTAAGCAGAAAGTGTCAGTCCATACATGCTGTTCCAACTCAGTACAGAGAAATAAAGGATAACGCCATCATTAAGGAAATGGTAGCTATGCGCCCAACTTGTGCAATCAGTGCTAAATTGCCTGGCTTCCCATCCGCTCCGAGAAAAAAAACTGAGAAGAAAACACCAGATATGGTCTCCCTCATGCCATCTTGTCCACATTTTACAAAGGTATTAGGTATGCCATCTGTTGAGTTGGGAAATGAAGCATTAGATTCAAGTGCATGGCCTCTGGATGCAAAGCAACTGTACAAGAGGACCTCAAAGGATGAGTCCGACATGGGGTGTTCTTCCTTAATAAACTTGAATCAAACATATGACGACCATCTGAATTTTTACATAGAAAACATGGCTATGATTATGCCAGCCTGTGCAAAGCAATCCAATGTCCCTGGCTTTCCATCCACATATTCAGAATCTCCACATATTCTTTATCATGCCAATAATAGCCGGAAGTCACCAGAAGATGTTGGCCGTAAACAAGAAACTTCAGCTGTGCTTGGTTCAGCAGACACGGAGATAGACCTGTCCCACCCACGCAGCCCTCGAAACTGTCCCAGAACCTGCTGCGGCCCCTACATTCACCGGCCCATTAACTGAGGTCCAGATCAATCAATCCGAGAATTCACAGAGCTCTGCTGAGGTGGCCATATTACACCCAGCTGCACATGAGCAGACAGAAGATGAGATGATTCCTCATAAAGACAAGGCAGAGCCCTTTCGAAGTAGCGTTCAACTAGCAGAAATGCAAGCGCAAAAGGCCAGCCCAAAATCTGTTCCACAGCTGCTCTCAAATACAGAAATGTCCCAGTCAGATCACACTGGTGAAGGGTAAGTGGGGAATGATGCACGTTATAAGACAGCATATAGTTACTGGGTTACATTTAAAGCTTGTTACGCTATATTAATATAAAATGCATATACTGTATGTGTTGCGGTCCATTTGCTTATTATTATTCATAAATCCATTTTACATCCTCCCTCTGATCTCTGTTCTAATGTCCCTGTCCCTCAGCACCAAAAGCATGGCCGCTTTGCTGCCCTCTTGCCCAAAAGAGTCCCATTCTCCTTGGTCGCCATCAATATTAGCTGACGACATAACTGAGAATCAAATAGGAGACTTTTATGTAGACAGACTACCTAGGATGAACCAGGAAGTCTGTGCTCTCCCTGTTTGCAAGAAAGCACATGAAGGAGAAGAACCCAATGTCGACAGTTCTCCATCTGTTCCCAACATGATATATCTTCTTCCAGCCTGTCCGAGAACTGCTTTTGCACCTGGGATGCCATCTATAACCTTTCAAGACACAAAGTGGCCTTGGGACGAGTCTGTGAAGATACTGAAAGAGTACATTCAAAAGGAGAAACCAGAAAGACTTATTGAAGATATGGATTGCTCATTGTATAACCAAAGCACAGTAGAAAATATGGTGTCCTTACAGTTAACTTGTCCAAGAACTGCCAGCATCCCAGGATTCCCATCTTTGCCGTTCTGTATGGTCAGTCTCCTTCCATTATGTCCAGATGTCTCTGTAGTTCCAGGTTTACCTTCAAGATCTCCAATCATTTGCACAGATGAAACTTGGCCTAAAGAGAATTTAGTATTTTATTTTAGAGAAATCAAGCAACAGATTTCGCCAATGTCCTTAACAAAGGTGGATTTTGAAACTGCAAGAAAGATGGTTGCATTGAGGTCATCTTGCTCAGCAGCACCCAAGGCTCCAGGATTTCCATCTGCTCCAAAACCAGTTGCACCAAGTATGGTCAGGATTTCGCCATGTTGTCCAAAAGTTTCCTGCATTGCTGGATTTCCATCTGCAAAAGTACTTGCCAGTCAAAATGTCTTCCAACAGTGGCCATCCAACAATCAATCATCTGTGATAATAGCACAAAGGAACCAGTCCAGTTTGCCTCAAGTTGTAAATATATTGAAAGAGGACCAGTTAACAGAGATGGTGAACTTGGTACCATCTTGCCCGAGAAAAGCAAGGACTCCTGGTTTTCCATCTGCACCAAAACAAAAACAACACATTGCATTCTGTATAACAAAACTTCTACCTTTATGTCCAACAGCCTCTTGTGTCACTGGAATTTCAGCTATACAAATTCTTACAAGCACATCAGATTCACTTAAGGAGTGGCCAAAGGATATTAAACCGTTTTGGATGAAGACACTAGCATCTCAGACATGTCATTTAATCTGTCCATGTCCAGCTCAGTATGAAGTTGCAGAAAACAATATGTTGTCAATGATACCATCATGCCCAAGAAAAGCAAGAACACCTGGATTTCCTTCGTCACCGTGGCTCATCCCTGAAACACAAATAACGTCTGGTACTCTATCAATATGCCCATGGACAGCTAAAACGCCAGGCTTTCCCTCTTTAGTCCCAAGCCAAATTGATAAGGATTTCATAGATAATTGGCCCTTTAAGGAGAAAGCTTTTTGTATGAGGTGTCCGCCAATGTACACATCTGACAAGTTAGACATTGCTCATCAGGACAAAGAGAGTTTTAAAGGAATGTATTCTATTTTGCCAAGTTGTCCAGTGAAAGCAAGTGTTCCTGGCTTTCCATCTGCACCAAAACCCAAATTAATGGTTTATCTTTTCCATTCTTGCCCAACAGTCTCAAATGTACCTGGGATGCTATCGAGCATAATATCTGAAGAGAAATTACAGTGGCCTGTAAATGAAATGCCACTATGGGTTAAACAATTAAGCAGAAAGTGTCAGTCCATACATGCTGTTCCAACTCAGTACAGAGAAATAAAGGATAACGCCATCATTAAGGAAATGGTAGCTATGCGCCCAACTTGTGCAATCAGTGCTAAATTGCCTGGCTTCCCATCCGCTCCGAGAAAAAAAACTGAGAAGAAAACACCAGATATGGTCTCCCTCATGCCATCTTGTCCACATTTTACAAAGGTATTAGGTATGCCATCTGTTGAGTTGGGAAATGAAGCATTAGATTCAAGTGCATGGCCTCTGGATGCAAAGCAACTGTACAAGAGGACCTCAAAGGATGAGTCCGACATGGGGTGTTCTTCCTTAATAAACTTGAATCAAACATATGACGACCATCTGAATTTTTACATAGAAAACATGGCTATGATTATGCCAGCCTGTGCAAAGCAATCCAATGTCCCTGGCTTTCCATCCACATATTCAGAATCTCCACATATTCTTTATCATGCCAATAATAGCCGGAAGTCACCAGAAGATGTTGGCCGTAAACAAGAAACTTCAGCTGTGCTTGGTTCAGCAGACACGGAGATAGACCTGTCCAGTGCAAACGATTCTGACAATAGTTTTACATTAGAGAAGACCAAGGACAATGTGAACTTTTGGGCAAGATGTGAGGAAGGACAAAAGGGAATTCTGGAGAGGGGGTAAGTTCAGAATTGCCCAAGTGTTTTTTGCTCAAAAGACATTTTGTTTTGCACATCCTGCGGTCAGTGGATAGTGCATGACATACTTTGACAATTGTTTCTAGGAAAATGCATTGCAGAATGTGGCACTCCATACCAGACATGCCACTATTACTGACTGTTGAGGAGAGGTGAGTTTTGCAAGGAAACATAAAATAGAGAGTATTCATTTATTGCTTTGCCTTGTCGCAACTGCATCAGATTTTTTCCGCCTGCATATAACATTTACTGTATGTACTCTGCTCTCTTAAAGGCATAGTTCAACCCAAAATGAAAAATTAGCCATCATTCACTCACTTTTATGTTGTTCCAAACCTGTATGCATTTCTTTCTTCTGTTGAACACGAACGAAAATATTTAGAAGTTTTCAGTGTTTTTTGTCCATACATTGAAATTCATACAGGTTTGGAACAACATGAAGGTAAGTTAATGATGACATAATTGTCATTTTTTGGGTCATCTATGACTTAAATATCATAAATGCATGATGGTGTGAAAACTAGGCACAGCATGTGAGGTGTAACAGAGACAATTAAGCCCTGCATCATGTATATTGAATCAGTTAAATGGCTGCCAGTGATCGGAATGATGCATGCAGTCAGATCATCTTGTATTGCCATACAACCTCACATCTGACATCTGATTATATGCTTATTTTTCTCAGATGTCAAAGCATATGTGCTCAGATTCCACCTTCTGAGAATTACAGAGACCCTCTGATTGAAAATGATGACGTGGATCAAGGTGTATTATGGGCATCGCAAGACAGACCAGAACAGTTTGCTGAAGGTTTTAAGAAAAAAGAAGAGAATACAGAAGATCCCAATAGTCTGGTCCTTTTAACAGCTGAAGATCGGCCTACAGGAGTGCAACAAGAGTGTGTACCAAACATGGTAGATCTTCTTCCATCATGTCCTCTGTTCTCAAGAGTTTTTGGATGTCCATCAACAGCGCTGTCTAGAATATGCAAAACAGACATAATCAACTGGCCTACTGATTTGAGTATAATTTGGGATGAGCCACATAAATCAACAAAAAATATTTTGTTAATGCCAAACTTGGAAACATCCCCCAATGAGGCAAATATGGTGTCCCTGTCTTGCACATGTCCAAATAAAACAAGAATTCCTGGCTTTCCATCTGCTAAGAGACCCACAGAGGCCCCATGTATGTCTTTTCCAGAAACATCCATTGTTGTTGACACTTCTTCACAGACCCCAATTCCAGAGGAAAAGCATCATGAGGAGTGGCTGAGCATGGAAACATCATTATTGGAAGAACATCCTAAAACAAAGCCAATGTTACACATTGAAAGACCAGTTGAGTATTCAGAGATGCCTGTAATGAAGGTGGCCACAGTTCCATCTTCAAAACTTGTTCCTGATTTCACATCTGCACCAAAGAGTGGAGAAATACTTCTTCAGTCATGTGAAGAATTAAGTCTTCAAGAGTCTACAATTGCTGAGTCAGAACTAAGGGATGATTCCAAGCCTGCAAATGAGATGTTGACCTTTGTATCTGAAAATGCTGCACAAATGCCAGATTCTATCCCTGAACCCCAAGCAGAGCCAAATAGGTTGGAGCTCTTTCCATCCTGTCCAGTGCTTTCTACAATCCCTGGATGTCCTTCTCTAAGGGTCTATGAAGGCATGGAGTGCATTGGTGATCAAACAATAATCTTTTGCAATTTATTGAAAGATAGACAGACTGGTATTTTTGACCCCATTAAAGATGAAAAAGACTCCCAGATTATAGCTCTGGCACCATCATGCCCGAAAGCATCATGTATTCCAGGCTTTCCATCTAGACCACATCGTAAATCACAGATGGAACCAAACATGCAAAACATTTGTCTCTCTTGCCCAAAGATTTCACATATAGCTGGTTGTCCGAGCATCCAGATCCCTAAGATGTCCAATTGGCCTTTGAGTACAGTCATTTTGTGGTCAAATCCATTTAAGAAACTGCCTGTTGTTTTGGACATGGACAAGATATGCAAAGAAAACAGTCATAGAATGTTTGCTTTGGCACCTACATGTCCATCAGTGGTCTGTGTTCCAGGTTTTCCAGCTGTGCCTGAACCAATAATGCTACGCATGCTTCCCACTTGCCCGGAGAAGTCTAATGTTATAGGAGTTTCTTCTAAAAGAGATAATTTAGATTGGTCTGTTGAAAAGGAAACATTGTGCAATGCATCTTTTAAAAAGCAACCTGTTGTTTTTATTGACAGAGTAGATTGGCTCAGTGAATTAACTAAAATAATGTTTGCATTGGCTCCAACCTGTCCACCAATGGCAAGAATACCAGGATTCCCATATGCACCTAAGCGCAAAGCTACACTTCCTCTCAGTATGGTTGATCTTCATCAGTGCTTTCCGAAGACTTCAAGAATCATGGGATTCTCATCAAGTGACAGAATAAACACAGGAACATGGTTTGAAGATGAAACGCCGCTGTTGGAGAGGCCGCTGAGACCAAGATCAGAGCTGCTTGTCCAGTTTAATTTCACAACTCCGTATGAAGAAATAGACAAATATATTTTGCAGAGGATGTTTGCACTAGTACCCACCTGCCCAAGAGAAGCTTGCATACCTGGTTTCCCCTCTCTACCTCAGGTTAAAGTGGAGGGTTTCTATCTCCATAAAGAACCAGATGTAGTCAGCATTTTGCACTCTTGTCCAATGGTTTCTTTTATTGTAGGTGTTCCTACAGTAAAATCTGTGCCCATAAAAGAGTCTCAAGAAAGCATATGGTCCACTCAGAAGCCCATATGGGTTAAACCTCTTAAAGAAAGATTGGTTTTGTCTTTAAGTTATACAAAGGATAATGAAGAATATTCAAAAACCATGTTCTTGCTTGCCCCTACCTGCCCTAATAATGCCAGCAATTATGGGTTTCCATGCTCAGAAAGACTTAAAGAAGAGTGTACAAAAACAACCGTCTTCCCAGCTTCTCCAGAGGCTCCATTCTCTGCAACCGATGAAACAGATTTCAGTAACCTGTTCACTGAAGTGCCATGTTCCCCAGTTGAAACAAGGCTTCCTGATTTCCCAGATGCTTCTACATATGCAATTTCTCCATCAAGTCCAACCCAAGAACACACCGAATTTGAAGCAACATTTACCCAATACATAGAATCAGAAAGAAATCAAACACTGGATATAACAGGGCCTGGTAAGAGACCCACTTTTAGAGTGTGACTTGAACATTGAGTAATATGTATGCACAGAAATGTATAGATTTTTTTTTTTCTTTTTCTTTTTCTTTCTTTGTTTTTTAAAGATAATTCTAAAGAAATAGGAAGTTTTCATGAGATTCCCTTGGCTGAAGGGTGAGTTACATAGCATGTTTTGTGTGTGTGTGTGTGTGTGTGTGTGTGAAAACACTTTTAGAACTATAAATTTGTGTTCTTTTCTTGCATGTGCAATATATTGTTTTGACATTGTTTGAGTTGTTCTGTACATTAATTGAGGCCACAATTATTTTGCTTTAGTTATTTTACATATATTATATTATATTATGTAATTATCTTATATTATTATATTATTTCTTGACATTTTGAGGCTTAATGGGAGCTTTATGCAAGCCTGTTCATGTAAAGACAACACCCATTGTGTAATTCAAAATTATCTAATAAAACATGGCTCAACATGATTTGTTATGGCCTGATTATTATCTGACTTTTTCTTCACTAACATATAATTCCACTGTATGTTATGCCTAAAAACACTTTTGGTGCATGTCCATGAGAGATATGCATGGTGCATGTGAATCGCATCACAGACCATGTTGACTATTGACTATCCTTTATCAGTATTGAAAACCATGAGGAGGAAGAGCAACATGTCGGGGAGCAGTCTGCAAGTAAAAGTAATGATACTGCAGAGTCTGGAGAGACTACTATAGCGTTAGGATGGGAAGTTTTGGAGGCAGATGATACTTCCACTGAAAAAGAAGGATCTTCTGGTCTTGTTAAGACTATAGTTGATGTTTTTCACAGAGGGTAAGATCAAATAACATAACTGGGTGAAATCACTGAGCATGTTTGCTTTGATTTTATTTGAAAAACAATCTTACAATCTATGTAGATCTGTTTCATTTTTTAGTTTTGTAAGATTCTTTAATATCCTGAGAAATCAAGAAAATTACTCATACCCATACTCTGTGTTCTTTTGTTAAAGTAATTCATTTTCATTAATATCATATGTTGCCGTTTATTGTTCTGAAAACTTTTTTTTTTTTTTACTTTTCACGACTCAATTGTTGCTGTCTTTTAGTTATGAGACCGTTGCAGCAATATTGCAGCCCTCTATCTCTGAATCGGTCATGGACACGCACACTTTAGATCCTCTCGACAGTCTTTCATCCTCTGTGGATCTCGAGGACAGCAGCACTCGCATGGCCACTGGATGCGATCATTCATTGGAGGCACTCGCAGAGGCAGCGGAGTCTGAGGTGTTTGATTCTGCTGAATCCTACATGTGGCGTTTGGTTAGTGGTTGTTCAGAAACATCGCTGTCATCAAAAGAGACTGAAAGCTGGTTTGTTGAAGATGAAGAATTCTGCCTAATGAGGAAGTGGCCCCCTTTAACGGACGCTGACCTGCATGAGATAACTAAAGAGGAGGAGGACAAAACAGATGTCGACTCTTTGATACAGGAGTGTACAACTTCTGTTCAAGAGGAAGCTGGTAATGAGATTGTGACAGAATGTAAAATGTTGAAGGATGAGCTGTCAGCAACAAAATTTCCAGAGGACGGGTGAGTTCCTCAGGAGTGTTGCAATCAAACCCAACCTGCAAGTCCTGCAAACGGCAGCACGGCTATATTCTTTTTTCTTTTCTTTTTGTGTTTCCCAACTCACATTTGCAAACACTTTGCACTGAAATGGCTTTTATTTTGTGTGTGTGTGTGTAGCTGGTAATGAGATTGTGACAGAATGTAAAATGTTGAAGGATGAGATGTCAGCAACAAAATTTCCAGAGGACGGGTGAGTTCCTCAGGAGTGTTGCAATCAAACCCAACCTGCAAGTCCTGCAAACGGCAGCATGGCTATATTCTTTTTAATTTTTTTTGTGTGTTTCCCAACTCACATTTGCAAACACTTTGCACTGAAATGGCTTTTATTTTGTGTGTGTGTGTGTTTTTTTCCCTCTAAATATTTATGTCAATGTGTCTAATTTTGCCTTTTGCCCTAAGGTGCAGTGTGTAATTTCAGTGACCCTAGAGGCACCAAATGGAATTGCAGAAATATTGATTGTGTCCAGATATGCAACACTCCTACTGCCCTTTCATTTTAGCCCCTTCTTTCATTGTTTGGCCAGATGGGTTGTCCCGGCCCCAAACCATGGTATTGTAATGCAGAAAACAGAAGTTGAAATGCTTAAGCAGACTGAAACTATTTTGAAAACGCCACTGTTTTTACTTACTGTTGTACTGCTGTTACTGTTGTATCTGCAAATGAATCTGGGAAGAGAAATAGTTTTAAAACAAAGAAATTACACACTTCACCTTGAAAGACATTTATTTGTTCAGCTAAGATTGTAAGCTGAGATCTTTTGTGCTTTTATTACCAAATCCGCAGTTGCTGTGACTGGTTGCATGTTGTAAATGTATGTGCAATTTCTGAAGGCAAAATTTCATGCAGTGGTAAAGTTGCTTGCTTAAAAGGGTGTTTGACTGTGGTTTATAAGTGTGTCATGGGACAGTCAGTGCATTCATTATCTCAACAGAAAATAAATGTTGTGATACTGTATTTTTGTTCTTAAGGCCACAACATCATTTTGTCCAAGAAGTATCTCTTTTCATCCAACGGACTAAGGACGAATTGCTGGATGAAGAGAAACCACCTATGTCCTTACTGTCTTCAAAAAATTCTCATAACCCAAGAACTGTCACAGAACAGACCATTTCATGTTCAAAAGAACTTGTGCCACCAAGAAGGACTAAGAAGCAAGACATTCTTCAAGAGACATTCACGTTATCAACATCAATTTCCAATCCAGCTAAGCCAACTGCTCAGAGCGACAACTTCTGTGTCATAAAACAAACTGATCATTATTCTCAGAATACATCACATAATGTACAGCCAGGTAGAGCACTCACTTCAGCTACGACAGATTATGGTACATCTTTAGAAACAGATCGCTTGATGAATATACCTGTCCCACTGACAAGTGCTTCTTTTCCTGAAAATGTGGTAAAATTATCCAAAATTGAGATTTGTTCAACAGAACCCAAAGAGAACCCAACACCCAAAGAAATGATAGCATCATGTCAGAGCAACAGTGGAGAAAATGTTCCCCTAATGCCTCAGAAAGACACAGTCAAACAATTACGTGCTCCTCAGAGGCGGAAGAGTAAAGCTCAAACCAGCAAAGGTGATGAAGCCAGTGGAGAGTTTGAAGAAAAGAGCACACTGTCTACTGTCATCACAAATATGTCTCAGTCTGAAGACACAAGAAAGACTCAAGCTGGTGATCAATTGAACGTGAAAGATCAGGTACAACTGGATTTGAATGTTCCTGAGGTGTTGGAAGTGAAAATGCAAATCAAATGCACTGATCTTCCAGTCCCAATGCCACGTGTGAAGAAACGTCTCAGTGGATCTTTTACAGATGATATTCCTTCTCCTTCATCCACCCCTCTATCTGAAGCAGATCCAGATAACATTGTTCTTCAAACAGAAGACCATCAAGATTCAAGTCTGCCAGTCCCAATGCCACGTTCAAAAAAATGTCTCAGTGGTTCTTTTCCAGATGATCTTCCAGCTCCTTCATCCAGCCCTTCCTCTAAAGCAGATTCAGACAACATTTTTCCAGTCCCTGTGCCACGTGTGAAGAAACGTCTCAGTGGTTCTTTTCCAGATTTTCTTCCAGCCCCTTCATCAACCCCTCCATCTCAAGCAGGTTCAGACAACATTGTTCTCCAAACAGAAGACCATCAAGATTCAAGTCTGCCAGTGCCAATGCCACGTGTGAAGAAACGTCTCAGTGGTTCTTTTCCAGATTTTCTTCCAGCCCCTTCATCAACCCCTCCATCTCAAGCAGGTTCAGACACCC